TTCATTTTCATCGGAAAGGGAAGCTCCATTTGTGGTCCGCCAGTCTAGCTCTCCTTCTGGATATCCGCAATCCCAAAGCATAAGCGGCAATGCATCAGCCATCTGGTACTGTGGTTTGGTGTCCACGACCTCAGTGGCACCTGGCTCTGAGCCTTCCTCTACATTCATCAAGGAAGTGACGACGGAAGGATCTTCTTGTCCATGGCCGACCATGAAAAGAACAGCCATGATGTTGCGTACTTGATGGTAGAGAAAAGCAGTTCCGACGAGATTTAAGACGTAGTCCCCGTTGCCCTCAGCGTCGATTGATATAGGATCGATTTCGGCACTCAAGACCTTTCTTTTAAACATTGTGATTTGCTTGGAGGGGTCAATTTTACACAGATTGCGGAAGTCGTGTTCCCCAACTAGGTAGGAAGCGGCAGTACGCATACGTTCAATATCAAGTATACTTCCTGTAGCAGTATTCCTTGAGAAGAAATACTTGTAGTGTCTGTAGGTGCACGAGAACCGGGCGGAGAAGTCATCAGAGACTGGGGACCAGGCTAATATCCGGATTGTTGGTGGAAGAAGACGGTTTAGAATTAGAAGATACTCGTATTCGTATTTCTCGTTTTGAATCGATGTAGGCTTGGACAAGCTCGAATTGAGAGGAACATCCTTCAAGTCGTCTTCGTCAAATCCAAACTCAAGTCCTGGAACTGCATTCTCTCCTTCCACAAGATTTGACGATGAAGCATCATTCGCCAAGTCTGCTGTCGTTTCTGAGCTATGCGATGTCGAGGTACTTCTGGCAACATTAAGAGAGTCATCCTCTGTCCCAGTTTCGGAACCAAGGGCACTCCGAACCCACAGCGAAATGACCTGGCCAGCGGCACTGACTCCTCGATCTGTACGACCACATTTCGTCCATCCACAACCGTCAAAACCTCCCTCGGGATCGATTAGTCTAGCCTTGACCAGTGCATTAAATAACACTCCTTCCACCGTGGGGAGCGTAGTTTTCTGATATTGAAATGCAAGTCCACCATACTCCCATCCAGAGTAACAGAACTTTAACGCGATCTTGCGTCTCGAATGAGCGTTGAACTGGAAGGTCTTTTTGATTCGAGGCTTCGGGGATGGCGGTCGTTGCTTTGGTCGAGCCTGGACATTGTCGAGCTCTGTTAGTCGAGCAATCAGCTCTTCCCGAGTCCAACCATCGTAAGTCGAGGCCGATAAAGATGATGCCATGATTGGTCGAGGTACTATGCAGCGTGATAGAACGCTGATCATACAATTACAATTGCAAGGAAATTTACAGCTGTTTTCATAAATATACGCAATCATTGTTTTGAAAATTCGAGTGACTTTGGTAGTATTTGTTCGAACGGCAGGACGGCATCTGCCTTAGAATTCGATGGAAGGAAGGGCCTATCACTGGTCCTAGTGGCATTCAGCAAGTCTTGACTTTTGCTACTCACATTGCTAAGACTTAATCTTAATTTTTGCTTTCCAGTGCTAGCAAAACTCCCACTCCATGGCAGGAATCTGTGGTAAATCTTTTGTCCTATCACTATTAACTGACTTTGACCAACGCCTTTTTGGTGACCAGAAGAGTGGTTGCTTCCTAGCAACACTGGATGACCTTGAGGGGTTGGGAGATGACTTTGTGGTGCCAGTCTCAGTGCTTGACTCTCCCCTTAACTTGGAGCACAATCAAGAGCAAGTGGCAATGGCAGAGGCAATGTTTGCTAGGGAGTTAGCTGCAGCAGAGAAGGACTTGGTGGTGGCTTGGTTAAGGTATGGAGTGCTGAAGCAAACAGTGGAGACACTGTGGTGATTGCAGAACAACTCTCATGTTACTATCTCTTGGCAGGTGGGGAATGGCCTGCAAGAGAGTGATTTAGCACTGGTCAGCCCCCCTCTCCTTTTGGTGACTTCAAGCTGGAAGACTGCACTATAAATGTTATGGACTAACCTCCTTAAGGGGTCTTTATTTTATTGTATTGTGGACAGACTCAAGATACAAGCCAGTTAGGACAACTTCTCAATGACTGGCTGAGGTGTTCATGACTAACTCCTGGCCCAAGCCTTTCTGTACCACAATTCTTCATCACCTCCAGAATTTTGAAAAAAATATTTTTCAAGGCATTGTTAAATTTGCTCCTAGAGCACAAGCAATGGGACTATACAGTTGAACTGATACCAGGTGCAGAACCCTCCAGGTACAAGGTTTGTCTGCTTGCACCTCACAAGTAGAATGAGCTAGATGCATTCCTGCAGGAGAACTTTAGCTCTAGCCAGATATGGCCCTCTAATCCAGTCTTCTTTATTAAGAAGAAAGATGAGTCTCTTTGTCTGGTTCAAGACTATTAGGTCTTGAATGTGATGACAGTGGAGAATCACTATGCCCTACTACTGATCTCAGAGCTTGCCAACAACCTTTGAAATGCATGTTATTTCACTAAGTTGGACACCTGCTGAGGCTACAACAACATGCACATCAAGGAAGGAGATGAGTTGAAGGCAGCATTCCAAGCAACCATGGACTCTTTGAACCTCTGATAATATTCTTTGGTCCCACTAACAGCTGAGCTACTTTCTAGACAATGATGAACAACATCTTTCACAATCTAATTGTGGAGGGTGTTGTTCACATTTTCCTCAACAATATCCTCATCTACACCAAGATGCTGGAGGACATTGCTGGATTATACACATTGTCTTAGATCATCTCCACCATCACCAGCTTTGCCTCAAGCCTGAGTGTGAGTTCAAGCAGACTAAGGTTGAATACCCAGGTTTGATCATCTTGCATGGAACAGCTGAGATGAACCTGGTCCAAGTGGCTGGTGTGGCAGAATGGCCTGAATAAAAGAACAAGAACAAAGTCCAACTCTTCTTAGGCTTTGCTACCTTCTACTGGAGGTTAGTTGAGGGTTTCTCTCACCATGTCTCTTTGACCTCACTGTCAAGAACATGGCTTGGTAATGAGAGACCTCACAACAAGCTGTTTGATGCCCTCAAGCAAGCCATTGATGAACTAGTGACTGTGCAGTGAAGAAAATGCAATGCTTATCAACACCACAACATTTTGAGAGCACAAATGCAATCTCTGGTTTCTCACAATAATCAACACTAATCTCCTCACTGTAACAGTATAGTTCTGAGATTGGAGAAAGGATATTTAGAAATACCACTCTACATAATGCAATTTGGTTGTTTGACAAATAGACTATATTTGTTAATATGTAATGACCACATACAGTAAGAGGTTCTGAGTTAAAGTCAAGCTTTTGGGGTTTTGAGCACACACAACTGCTCAAATAGAAAGTCATATGGACAATCTGAAGCCACACAGGCAGAATATGCACACAACCAAGAAAAGGAATCCTAGTGGAAACCTTAGTAAAATGGTATAGCACTGCACAGAAGTTTTAAATTTCACCTAGAAGCTACCTAAACACAGTGCACACTGTTTCTGATCACATGCAAAAGATATGAAATGTGGAGTAGTCAAAATTTGTTCATTCTTATAACCTACATACTACTTAATACCAAGGCCTATCTACTGTGCAAGTAATGATTGACATACATGAGCAGTGATACATGTGTTTAGGGTCTAGGATAGTGTAAGTCTGAGCCCTTTTGATACAGCTGACAAGCTATGACTATACAGACCAGTGGCATCATTCTCTCTGGATTTAGAGTGTTGCACCTCAATTTACAAGGAATTCTTCTGAGAATTTCTAGGGAGAACCTCTGCCAAGCCAGCTAGGAGTCCCTGATTATGTTTCAGATGCTTATTTGCCTATTCTGAGCATCATTGTTGGGTACTTACTCACCAATTGTACTATCCTGAGTAGCATCCAGTATGCTCTCTCCCATCACCCACATGTGTATTGGTATAGTAATTACAATACACTATATTCTGGATTCCTGCTCTCTTTTGATATCATAAAAAAAAGACAAAACATTCAATTTTAAAGTTCTTTGAAGTATGAGCAACTTCATTGAATCTATTGAGGAAATGCAGACAATATATTATCACAATCTTTGTCATTACTATTGTCATGTAAAGTCTCAATGAGACTTTCCAGCAGATTTGTAAAAGAAATTTTTTAAAAATGCCCCACATGTCAGCAGGTTGAAGTGAATACAGATTGAAACAGAGTTTCATTGTATATAATCCTGTCTTGATTTAATTTTATGCATATTTGGCTTATGTACATTGATGTGAAAGCTTGTAACTTTAGTTGGGAATCTCTTTATCAAGTTTATGTTAAACTTTCATCAATGTGAGCTGCCAAATACATTTCAGATCTCAAGATAAACTAGTAAGCTGTTTTGAATGAGTTTGTTGCTAATATAGAGCAATCAATAAATTATTATCTGAACCCTTAAAAAAGTGAAAATGATAGGTTTTATGTCAAACATAGCATAGATGGTTTTGAAGGAGATAAGCATGAAGGAGATAAGCATGTGAAAAGTAATGTCTAACTGCCACTAGAAGCAATTTAAACTTTTTTCCAATTTTCTAAGATGATAGTAATGAGTTGGTATGAATAGTAGGAGTAGATATTGATGTGACCAGAAAAGGTATAACACAGATGGAGCTATATGAAGGAGAGGATAGCGAGTGAGCTAAAAGATAATGGGCTGAAAGATAAAAATAAGCTGAAAGACAAAAGTGGGCTGAAAGATTTACAGAGGATCTAAATAGAATAGAGTGGTGAGGAAGCTTTGTCATGCTAAAACCATGCATGCAGCTTGAAAATGAGAGGCTCACTGAGAAGGTCAACTGACATGTAACAGCAAGTGCTATTCAGAGGTAAGAGATGGACCATCAGAGTAGTAGCTATGGATCATCTCACTTTTGGTAAGGAGCTGGAAGACAGGGACTTTTCATTGTATTGTCCTAACATATCTCCTTGGCCTACTGCTTCTGCCTCTTCTGCTTAAAATAAAGAAAATTCCTCTACTCCAAAAGAGTGTTTAACACCAAAAACCAAACGTTCGGGCCTAACTGGGAATTGAACCCAGGACCACTCCCAATGAAGCTTGGAAACAAGCGAGATTCGAAAATCCCGAAGGGAGTATCATACTACTAGACCATTAGGCCGATGATACATATGCGACTTGTTGACACCATCTAAACCAACGGTTTTGCAGGACTCTGCTCGCGCAATCACGTGGACTTGAGCATCACTTTCCTCATCTGCTAAAAGTGAGCTTCTGACGTGCCTCATTTGTTCTACTAGACCATTAGGCCAATGGTATGGAAGGCAGGATATTTGTATTGTATTGTCTTAAAATATCTCCTTGGCCTAACTGCCTCTGCCTCTGCCTCCGCCTCCGCCTCCGCTCAAAATAAAGAAAATTCTTCTACTCCAAATGAGTGTTTAACACGAAAAACCAAATGTTCGGGCCTAACTGGGAATTGAACCCAGGACCACTCCCAATGAAGCTTGGAAACAAGCGAGATTCGAAAATCCCGAAGGGAGTATCATACTACTAGACCATTAGGCCGATGATACATATGCGACTTGTTGACGCCATCTAAACCAACGGTTTTGCAGGACTCTGCTCGCGGCAATCACGTGGACTTGAGCCTCCCCATCATTTTCCTCATCTGCTAAAAGTGAGCTTCTGACGTGCCTCATTTGTTTATCAATATTGCGGAAAGCCATCGATGTCATGGAAAACTAATTGGCTGAGACTGTGTCATCAACATTTTGATCGTTTCCTTAACGAGCTTTTTTGATTGAGTATGTGATTAGAAGAAGTTTCTGGTCGTACCCTTTTCAAGTTGTAGTGACTGCGACCGCTGTCGTATGAACTCTCTACAAGATCGTTATGAATAAATTCAAGTTGCTTCTCGAAGTCTTGCTTGATTTGAGCGGAGATAACGCAAAGCACGTCATCTCAGGCTATTACAGCTTCGAAGGACAAGCCACTATTCCTATGACCGATTGAAGAACCAAGGAAAAACAAGATCAAGATCATTGGTGCAATGACCGGCAAGCGAATCATGAACTTTTCTTGTCTCCAATGCAATTGGCACGCCAGATGCCTCGATATTAACAGACGACATATCATACGCTTAAGAATATGAATTATCCACATATTCCTTCCCGAATCTGTGCAAAATCTGCGACCATAGAACAGTACTGTGTTGTTGCAACTTTTTCTGAGTATGACAACGAGATTGCATGGACTTGGGTGAGACTCGGACAAAGTAACAAGGTATGAACATGAACAAGAACTTGAAGCAGAAGGGCCAATCTCCATTTCGAAATTCAGGTAGTAGTACAACATAAAGTTCAAGAATGACACAAAATCACTGTGGGTTTTCCGAACATTCGATTTCAGTCAGTCTAGAGTTGATGGACGCATTGCCCCGAATGCGTGAGTACTAAAGGGAAGTTGGCCGCGCGACAGCGCTGAATCTGAATGGCGAAAAGTCATATCGGTCGTGCCCTCCCCTCCTCGCCACGGTACTAAACCACTTGGTTGACCTCGCTGACGTCGAGAAACCTTGGCAACGCAACGTGAAGAATAAAAGCAACGAACCCTTGCAACTTCTCCGCTTTCTCCACTATCCCGTTTTATTCTTCCTTTCCTTAAGTGACGACCCTCCAACAACAACTCCAGCCCTTCAGGATTGCACAAAGGGTCCGACTCCTTTGCATAAGTAGGATCAGAAATTCAACAATGACCTCATCGTTCCTTCAGCGGCCTTACATACCCCGCTAGAAGCCAACTGAGGTTTTCAGATGTTGATACTGACGTCGAAATTTATCCAAGTCATAGGAAATTCCAAGTGAAGCATTGTATTTGTGATAATAATACAGGTGGTGAGCACAACGTTACAAAAAAATCAGACGATCATACAAACTATCAACCAATCGCCATGTCCGTGACGTCAGAAATTTGTGAAACTCCTGAAGGTTGAGTACCCTTGAGGCGCATTGAGAATATAACGTCCTTGATGACCTGTGAAATAAGTCCGTGCTGCGCTTCGACAGCAATCTTTGTGCTGTCAAATATTTGTTGAGCCTGACCCAGTCCAATGGAATGAAGAATCACAAGTACCTATCCTTGACGCTCTTTGCGAGCTGGTTATCTTCCTTTTTCTTCTCCTCCTTTTCCTTTCCCTATGCGTCAAATTCGCGTCAAAAAAGACACGCCGGTTTAAAGTATGCACAACCTTAGTATTCCCGTCTTTATCTTTCGCGCTGGGAACGGAAGCTCGCGTAGAGCCAACAGTCGACTGCGCCTTTGAGAGCTTTTGGTGAAGATCAGAAAGCTGAGACACAGAATATGCCTTGTTCTACATCCAAAATCGCATCAGTTTCTCGTTGGGAGGAACGGAGAACGCACCGAGATCAGAGGACTAGAACTGAGGGTGTTCACCCAGTACTTGTTCCAAAGCATCGCAAGCAGCTCGTTATCAAGACTAGACTTGAAAATCTCCACATCCACTTGATAGTACTGATTGGCGTGGACACCGAAATCCTCAATTTTGTGCAACGGAATGGACTGATACTCGGATGCAGCAACGTTTGGGGGAGTGTAGCCTTCTGGATATGTCCGGAACGCGCCAATGTCGACTTTTCCGGCAGAGATGGTGCGATTTGGGTCGATCTAGGGATTATTGAGCCACGAATGGGAAGGCGCGAATATCGGGAACTTACGACGACTGCAACGAACGGATCCTGGAATTTCTGGTTGATGATTTGTGTATTGACATCGATGCCCGATAGCCAGCAGCCATATCCTGGGTGAGAGTGATACCACCCAATCGCGTTCTCAAGTCGACCAGCCTATCAACCGAAGAGGGAAACGTTGAGTCACGTACCGAGTAAAAGAGCTTCTCAAGGAAGCAAATCGACAAAGAACTCACCTTTTCACTACCTTGAATGTACTCCACCATGTATTCGTTGGCCTCATTCGCTGCACTTACACGCGTCTCCGTTCCCTGCACAGGGAGAGCGAAGGAATCCATAACCACAATAGTATTTCCAACAACCTTTCCCTGCATAAGGCCCATGATCTCATGGGGCACGCCTGAGCGTGCATGAATAACCTGTGGCAATCGTTCATCCATACACCGTGGCGCGATCAAAACTTTGGGTAGCATACCATCTTGATCAGCGCGACAGCAGAGATCTTGCAGGCTTTGAAATAGTGTGGGCTTCAGAAAACATCTTGAGTCTAGAGGAAATGAAAGGATAAGACTATTATAGGTAACGCACTCCTTTGTCCAAGGGGCCTCTCGATTGAGCCTTTTATTCGCCTCTTGATCGAAACGGTAGATCTCATCTTGAGGTGATAATTCTATAATGTTATTTGAAAGATTGAAGTTCTTTTGGGCCGTGCTACTGGACGACGCCATATGAGTTGGTGGAAGAGACAGTCAAGTTCTTAGTTTGTATACAAGTGTTGTGTGGTGCAGGTAGCGCTTAGATCTCAGACGCGTTCAGAGGTAGCTCATCTTTACAACGACCTCACTCTCAAAGGATATGACATTGATGATGTATTGAAATTACTGGAATGGCTTGCGAACCCAGAATATGTAATTACAATGTGTAGTCGCCCAAGCATCTCGCGAAGCAAGCAGCCACTTCGCCTGCAATGGATGATATATGAGACCTCGTACCTCCGCTTCCGTAGAAGGCGGAGACTCGGGCGAAGAAGGAGAAATCCAGGCCTTTGGTAGTGTCGCGTGCTCAAGATACTGGGGATCCACGGAAGACGACCGATATTTTTGGAAAAATGAGACGAGCTCCGTAGGTTTTATGAATTTGCTATACGTATGTGTCCCTTTAGAGACCTTACGAAGGATATTCTCGGCCATGAAGATAGTAAGGAAGTAAGCGAGTGGTGTTCTGGATATGGTGGAAAGGAACAGATGGCCACCAGGCTAAGCGGATGGATTGTCGGGCTTGAATGCAGAAAGACACACGTAACACTCACTTTGACCAGCTCAGCACATGATGAAAGGAAAGTTGCAGGATGGTCGACGTGTTCGATGACTTCCATGGAGCAGACAACGTCGTACCGTTTCGAGGACTCCAGGAGCAACTCTGCCGAGGAGTGGAGGTAAGAAAGACGCTCGAGCTTGGGATCCGCCGATGCGTGTAATTTTGCAATCTTTATATTCGACTCGGAAGCGTCTATTCCTAAAGTATTAGCCCCAAGACGCGCGAGACTCTGCACCGACGGACGGTGAGATTTCTCAGGGTCATGGATGTTAAACCATAACCCACCTCGGACAAAAGCCCACCACCACATCCAACGTCCAGTACATCCAAACCGCGCAGACCTTTTGGTGGAGGAGCCTCTTCACCCTCATGTTCACGTAATGACACCTCCTCCAACTTTTCCCGTATGAACTGGACTCGCGTCGGATTCATTTTGTGTAGAAACCCAAACTCCCCTTGCTCGTCCCACCATTGTGAAGAAAGACGTGAAAAATGGGCGATCTCCGAAGCACTTATTGTGCCGTGGTTGGCTGAGGAGTGTACATGCCGGTGGAGAGTGCGAATGACGCTGGAGAAACGCATCGGTCACTCACAGTGACACATGATTGTGACAGCTACATATAGAAATCAAGATCCAGAATAAGTTATTTGAATGTCAAGTACAATTCGACAGGGAACATCATATTAATACTATATATCTCGGCTTCTAAATGTAAGTAGGAACTAGAGAGTGCTGTAATACAAGTAGATAGTATAACGTCGTCCAGGTGCTACACCGAGCAGAGAGTGAAGGTCTAGAACGCAGTTGCATTGCGGGTAGACACAAGATAACGAGCTGGAACTATTTGAGCAGCATGGGACATACCACGCGACTCAGTTTCAGGTATCGAAAAAGAAGACAGCCTAGTCGACAAGATATCCGTGTGATTTTCGATTGTTCGTGGAAAGTCTTCGGACTTCTTCCAAAAAAACCAAACTTGAAGAAGGTCCTGTGCCAACAAGGATTTATAAGAGATTGAAGCAAATCCGGCTCTGGGAGTACAAACTTTTTGGGTACCAAAGATGACCGCCGCAGCGCATGGCGCTACAAGTGGAATGATAAATAGTTCGATTAGGTTCAAAAACTAGCTTCACT